TGTGTGTGTTTTTGTGTGTGTGTGTGTGTGTCTGTGTGTGTATGTGTCTAACCTGTTTCTTTTATGTTGAGTTTGGAGTTTAATTTGAATTTAGTTTTTAATTTATTTGAGTCTTTTCTAATAATTAAGGCCGGATAATGAACGACTTTACTCTGAATTTCTGAGAATTCGCTGTTTATTTACACCGTATAAATTATTTACATGTTTTATAGAAAAAGAGGAAGCACAGAACTCTAAAAAAACACAGAAAACGTTTGCAAATAAAAAATAAAATCATTAAAAATCTAACCCGGCCCCGTCTGTTGGGGGACGGGGGAATAAGTTATGTAAACTGGGTCCCCATGGGGATAAATATGAGGAGCCCCTGTAGGTCCAGAGAGTTTAAGGCGTCCGGCTCCGTTTGTGTTCCATTCCGCCTTAAAAAGATAAAAAAATCGGATCTTTGGATTTTAGCGTAAAGCCCCCCCCCCCCTAAAAAACTGGTGCCTAAAGTAAAATCAGTACCAAAAGTCTAGCTACTATCAAAAGGGTCCCACAACTCCTCCCTGTGCCTGAACCCACCGGAGGACCCGGGTCCTATGGGTCCTCCGGGTTCTGGGTCTAGGGTCTGGGTCTAGGTTTTGGGTCTAGGTTTTGGGTCTAGGTTTTGGGTCTTGAGTCCTTTGGGTCCTCAGGGTCCTCTAGGGTCTGGGTCTAGGTTTTGGGTCTAGGTTCTGGGTCTTGAGTCCTCTGGGTTCTCCGGATCCTCTGGGTCCTGGACCCCCCGGACCCCTTCCAGGCCCCGGGCCCCGTAACCCGGACCCCAGACCCTCTGGACCCTCGGGACCCACTGGACCCTCTGGACCAGGCCAGGGTCTTCAGGGTCCCAGGCCTCTGAAGAAGACCTGAATTCTCCCCTCTGGGGACCCGGGTCCTCTTGAGTCCTAGGTTCTGGGTCCCCAGGTCCCCAGGTCCTCTATCGTCCGGGTCCTTTGGGTCCCCCTGACCCCTTTGGACCCCCCAAAGCCCCCAGACCCCCCGGGATCCTCTAGAACCATGGGACCCCCCAGACCACCACAGACC